CACAAACAAAACTCGTACGATCTCTCATTCTCTCTTTGTGGCTTTTCTCTCTCGCTCTTCGCTTCGCTTCGCTTCTCAGGGGAAAAGTCCACTAGGTGGACCCGCGCGAAGGCGCGCCCTTCCCCGACTCGGCTCTCTCTCTCTCTCTCTCTCTCGCTCTCTCTCGTTCTACCCTCCCGGCGGCTTGGCCATTGAAAGCAGCACGTCCACCGGAGGCAAAAGATGACATTGTTGTGACATATTGCTTTCATCAGAGGAGAGGAAAGTCGGGAAGCGTGATCCGCCTAAGTCAAGGTCCGAAGGAAAATGCACCGCACCCCGTGTTGCTTGGGCTTCTCCGGGGAGCACCGCTGAGAAAACTTGCATCCCCAAGCGATCTTCGCCATTGTACGGGACGAGGGATTGGCGGAATCGAATTTGGTTTAGGGTGTTTTTGGTGTTGTCTGGCTGAAAAGGGAAACGTGGCGAAACATTGGTTGAGCCTCGACCACAGTATGGCACAGGACGCCATTAATCTGGAGGGGTGCTGAGAAGTATGAGCAGGTATACAGTGCGTTGGTTCAGAGCAGCCGCGGGCCCCCCTAATTTCGGGTCAGACTGAAGAGATGCAGGGTTTGTCCCACGAATATGCAAACTGGCAACGCACGGCACGTGACTCACCAACACAAGCTGATTTTTCCGGTCATGCATATCCCGAAAAATAAAAGCAAACGCCCAGACGTGTGACGTATGCAACGAACTATAGATTTCATCCTCACTGAGCGTAACTGAGTCCATGAAGCTCTCTTCTTGGTTAACGGTCTGTGACGTTTGCCGAAGTATGCACTCGTAATGCTAATGTGGCACAACCAGGCACAACCTAGACTTGGGAGTCCAGCATGGTGTCGGGACTTCGTTTACTGAATCCGCGTCTGACCCAGGCCCAGTGTGGCCCACTAGCCCTGTTTGGTGAGGTGGCCCTGCTTTAGGGTCGGCGACATGCTTTCACGAGGGCTCCCCCCGGGTGCCATACGAGTTCCCACAAAGTTGGAAACCTCTCCCTCTCTCTGTCTCTCTGCCTGCCTCAGTACTTCGCAACTCGCTGTTGAACCTGCCCCACATCGAACTCTTGAGGGTCAAACCATCCCACTGATGGGGCTTGCTTCGCCACCACGTTGTGCACCTGCCATGTAGTGCAACGGTTGCAGCTGCAAACCAAACAGTATTTAATAGCAGGAGCAGCAGGAGTAGTAAGTAGTAGAGGTAGTAGTAGTCGTAGAAGTGGTGGTAGTAAGTCGTCGCAGTACTGCAGTCGCCGCAGTCCTGCTAATAGCAAGAGTAATAGTATGGCTGAGTAGGAGCAGCAGTACCGGTAACAGTAACACGAATAGTAGCAGTAGCCATAGCGTTAGCGGTAGCAGTGGCAGCTGTAACAGTAGTAGCAGTAGTAGTAGTAGTAGTAGTAGTAGCAGTAGTAGTAGTCGTAGTGGTAGTAGTAGTAGTAGTAGTAGTAGTAGTAGTAGTAGTAGTAGTAGCAGGAGCAGTAGCAGTAGCAGCAGCAGCAGCAGCAGGAGCAGGAGCAGGAGCAGGAGCAGTAGCAGTAGCAGTAGTAGTAGTAGTAGTCGTCGTCGTGGTGGTGGTGGTGGTAGTAGTAGTAGTAGTAGTAGTCTTGGTGGTAGTGGCAGTAGTAGTAGCTTGCAATAGTAGCAGTAGTAGTAGTAGTAGTAGTAGTAGTAGTAGTAGTAGTAGTAGGAGTAGTAGTAGTAGTCGTCGTAGTAGTAGTAGTAGCAGCAGTACAGTAGTAGTAGTAATAATAGTAGTAGTCGTAGAGTCGTAGACTGAGGTACTATTAGCAGCAGCAGGCGGAGTAGTAGCAGTTAGTAGGTGGTATTAACGAATTTTAACAGTAGTATTCGTATTGGTATCAGCATTATTATCAGTAGTAGTAGTCGTAGCAGGAGTAGTTGGTGGGGCTAGTAGTAGCAGCAGCAGTAGCAGTAGCAGTAGCAGTAGCAGTAGCAGTAGCAGCAGTAGCAGCAGTATCAGCAGTATCAGCAGTAGTAGTAGTAGCAGCAGTAGTAGTAGTAGTAGCAGTAGTAGTAGTAGTAGTCGTAGTGGTGGTGGTGGTGGTGGTGGTGGTGGTGGTGGTGGTGGTGGTGGTGGTGGTGGTGGTGGTGGTGGTAGTGGTAGTGGTAGTGGTAGTCGTAGTCGTGATCGTAGTAGTAGCAGTAGCAGTAGCAGTAGCAGTAGCAGTAGCAGTAGCAGTAGGAGTAGTAGTAGTAGTAGTAGTAGCAGTAGTAGCAGTAGTCATGGTGGTAGTGGTAGCGGTAGCCTCTGTGGTAAAGGAGTAGTGGTCGGAGCGGCGCAAGGCTGGGTAGTTCTCAGAATTACTTGGTAAGACGGGGGCCTTCAGTTTGGCCAGGCTTTCGGCAAGTGCAGCGACTGCGGTCGGGTCGTCGGCAAGACCTGAAAGCACTTTTGCGACAATCATGACTGCATGTGCAGCATGACTCAGGCAACTTCACGTTTGTGTTCGCTTCGAGAAAGGCAGGCTACGGACACTTCTGTCTCATCTGCAGTTAACTCTGCGACCTTCTTGCTTCAAATCAGCGCAATCGAAATGTGTCGCAGAAAACAGCAAGCAATCGCGGCCAAAGCTCCAGAATATCTACGGACGATCTGGCTGCCTTCCTAAAGATCGTTTGTACTCGCAGATCCTGTCAATCTCTGTATGATCCTTAGCTGAGCCCCGCTGTTTCCTGAGGGCAAAAAAGGGCCCCGGCCCAAAGCTATGGCCAGATCTTCAGCGCCGTTGCGGAACGATTCCAACTGTCTGTCGGCCTTGGCGTCGATGCAGAGAGTTGCTGCTGTACGATGCTATCAAGGTTGCTTTGTGCGTGTCGTCTGTTGAAACTTGCTGATCTCGGAAGTGGAGGAGTTTGTGCTTGAGATTGAACCAGAGTTTACACGTACCTGCAACTTGGCGCGTGATCTGGTGGAGCTTCCTTGGGGGAACTCAGACGAGTGTCGGATCAGCCCGGGCATGGAAGACATCAAAGCCGCAAATTCCCAGTCAGAACCCCTTTTACGACTATCCAATCTGCGAAGCTTGTCTCCTTCACACTGAACTATAGCTTCAAGCAGAAGTTCACACCCAAAAGTCGAGCTATGTAGCTGTTTCTAGCTGCTTGGACAGACCTTCAACAATCCCATCACCACTCAAACCATCCACTGCTGCGTCCCCATGCCAGTTACGCATACTGTGGGACCCCATACCTTTGCGGCGGGGCTAGAAGTGCCCATTGCCTCTGCTACAGCTGATGTTCTGAACATGCATCCGAAGGCCTCGGGATGGAGGATGGTCAGCTCCAGTGACACGTTCCAGATCTTGTTCCCAGTCGTCCCAGACGATTCCTGTGCCAGAGAAGCAGTGAAACTAAACTCATCTAAGAACTCTTCACTCGACATTGAATTGGACCTGCACAAGAGCCCCCAACCCTAAACCTTCAAATTTGGAATCCGAAAACATGTGAAATCTCAAATACAGATCCATGCACTGGCTTACAGGGCATGGATTCTTTCCTGGTGGCTGAGGGCTTTGGTGCGCATTAACACTTAAGCATACTTAAGCAGTCACAGACAAGCTTCGGAAGGACCCATCAGAAAATTCCGAACTCCGATCGGGTTCCAACACTTGGATCATCTTGGATCCCTCTAAATCTGCCCTGCGGCGCCCTTGCTTGCTTGGTGGACATGCAGAAATCGGAGACATCCGGAACCTCGACACCCCTTCACTTCGAGGTTTCAATCTGCATGGTCTGACGCCACCTCCAGCCGTCTGCCGTCACCGAACAGCGCCACAGACACGCTGATAGCTGCTTCCGGGATCGAGAAACCTGTAGTCTTTCCATCAGCTCTTGCCGCACCTCTTACATCTTAGGTGGCAGTCCGGTCGTGGTGTTGCAGGAAAACCGATGTCTGTCTCCCAATGCAGCGCAGCCGCACAGACTGACAGGCGCCTACGGTTGCGAACCCCCACTCCCTTGCCAGGGCACTGCTGGCCAACGCAGCCTTCACCGCAGCCTGCGGATGAAAATGAGGAGGCACGGCTCGTAGCAACCCCAAGAACCGCTCTCGGGAACCTCCACGATATTGGCTGTGGCTGCATCCATGGCGAAGCTGGTCCTTGGATCTGGCAAGATTTCCAAGCCCAAGCCCGAGAAGTTTCGTGCAGATGGAAGATCACGGAAGATCTCCAGGACATGTCCAACAGACTCTTTTCCAAACCAAACTAATTTTGCTGCCGACCTGATGCAAACAGCATTGTTAGCCTGCACTTAGTGTTATCCCTACAGCCAAAGTCCTGTAAGACCCTTGGCCATTGGGTCCTGTGGCCGAAAACAACCCGAACCATGAAAGCCAAAGAAAGCCCCGTAAACTTGAAGCCACATTTAGACCTTGGCCTTTTCATCTTCCACCTCTAGGTTTAGAATCCGTAAAGACTGAACGTGTCACATAGTCCTTTACCCCAGCGGCGCACTTCGAAACCACGCCTTCATCCCAGGACGACCCTATACACGACAGAATCCAAAGTCGCCGACCCGACTGTAAAGTTTCCGTCGCACCAGTCCCTACAACTAGGGTCCCTGATTACAGACCCCAACCTTGCTGCTTCGCAGCCTTGTAATTATGCTCACGATTGCGAGGCCGAGGAAAGAGCGGAAACTGACAGCGATGCGAAGCTCTCCAAAACCGCTAGCCGGCCGATGCTGAGTCAAACGCTGAGGTCCTGACACACCAGAGATCAAGGCCACCTTTGGGGCCACCACCTGAGAATGGACCTATTCTCTGCAAGACACCATCCTACGTCGCGGTGTCACCCCAAACTTGTCCACTTGCCCCTTTACCCGCTTGCTGCAGCTGAAAGAGGACACGGATCCCCAATGCCAGGTGGAGGCCTCCCATTTGCACTCGGTGGTGTTCGCGAGCACCACCTGTTGGGCCAAAGGAAATTGACTCATCTAACAAGCATGATGTTTCTCTGTTGAGGGTGCGAGCTGATGGCCTCGGCAATACAAAAACATCCTTCGCTGAGGGATGGAACGCAAAACCATGTTTGCTCTGCGGCGCTGCTCAGGAAGTTCAGGCTGAACCCATCGCACCTTGGCGAAATAGATGTTGTAGGAAGTCACGAGGCTGTCATCCTGCAGATTGCAGCCGATGCAGAATCCCCACAAAAGCTCTACTGTCCGAAACAGCAACAGAACAGCTGTCCTCTGGCGGATCCCACGACAACTCGCCACCCAAGTCTCCTGTAAGGACGTCGGACTGCTTGAACTCATGTTCGGCAAGGCGCTTCACTGACAGACATGGCATCACCCTGCCTGCATCAAGATCGAACTCAGGAAACGAGATGTTCGACACGGAGGCAAAGTTGTCCTTGCATGAAGCCCTTTCTGAAGACTCTCCCCACTAGATTGGTTGCGGGCATGCAACACGGGACCAGAACAGATACCACAGGCCCACATATATATATATATATATCCATATAGCTCACACCCCCCACCAAGACCTACCGCGAGGTGCTTCGGCTAGCAATGGGTAGTAGAACATGTAAGGATTTGAGGAAACCATTAGGATAAAATACACTCATACATAAACAATGCAAACACATATCGTGTATAATCAATAGCTGAATGCACTGTAATGACCTACGACGGCGCGACATCGCCGTTGGCGGATTTGGGCAAGCTTCAATGCCTGCAATTGTTTAATAGGATACTGCCTAAATGTTCCGGATATTCATAACTCTGGTCAAATATAATGACCATAGGCATAACCCGAAGACAGGACCAAGACAGAACAGTGTCTGCATCCTACGTAAGATCGTTAGATGCGCCGGGTAACTTTGTGTTTGTCATTGTCTGTTTTTAATTTTGTTCATGTACTCATAGGCATAACCCAAAGACGGGACCAAAACAGAACGATGTGTGCATCCTACATAGGATCGTAATGAGGGTTACATGTGCACACATGTTTATTCTGTGTGAAGCTCTTAGGTTACTCATGCGCCAATGTGTATAATAGCTATTACTAGTGCGAATACTAATACTGATACTAAGATTTCTATTCCTACGAATAAGGATATTACTGTTCATAACATAATAGGCTTAATGGTTAATACTAGTATTAAAAATTACACTACTAATTCGAATAGTAGTGCTGATGGGAATATTAACACTCCTGGGGATACTAATACGCATATTCTTATTAACTGTTCTCAATATGAATACTAATAGTACTAGTTGTTTGGAATACTAATACTTGTCCGAATATTCATACCAATACTCAGGCTACTGCGATTATACATAATAGGACATTAATATGGGTATTCGTATTAAGGTCAGCATTTCCTTCGAAAGTATTCATATGCGCATCATAATTCATCTTAATACTCGTACTGATATGAATTAGTATGATTACAAATACTTTTACGAAGACGGGTACTTTCAGTAATACCGATACTAATATGAATGCTAGTGTTCCTACGAATATTAAAAAACATACCCATATTGATAGTAATTTTAGTATTTATTTGTTTCCAATATACACGCAAATCCTAACATTAATACTAATATGCACATAAGTGATACAGTTCCTCCGCAGATTAATGCGCATAGTCTTATTAATTATTCTCAGTATTTATATTCACATTAAAAAAACCTACACTAACATGAATAGCAGTATTACCACTTGATACTCCAGCTAATACGATTATGCATAGTATGAACAGCGATACTGCTATTGATACCAATATTAATGCTCCTACGAATACTAATAATCACGTTCAAACCAAATACAAAAAACAGACACATCAATGTACCAAAGAATCTGTATTTTCACATACCAATAAATAATATACTCGTATACTACTATTCCAATGTTACCATAGACTTACAAATACAGAATATACTGATATGAGACTATACACTGGTTAATATTAACGCTAAGAATAAGGCAGAGACTAAGACCAAGACTAATACGAATACTAAAACTCACACTAGACATTAACACTACCATTAGTACACCTATTGTATAGACTTATATTCAGACTAATACTAGCGCTGACATTGGAATTGACATTGACACTGACACCAACACTAACAGTAACACTAATCAACACGCTAGAACGCAGATACTAATACTAACACTAATGCCTAATGCAAATCTGAAGACTACTGCGCGTAAACAACGAAACCATTTCCGATCAAGCATGCTGCGCGCTGTATTGGCTCTAAGGCTCCGAGAACCAAAAATCCAAAAAAACAAAAAACCAAAAATCCAAAACCTTTGTCAGGGGGGTCGAAACTTTTGGATTTTTTGGTTTTCCTAGGGTTTTTTTGGTTTCCAACAGAAAACCAAAAAAATCCAATGTTTTTTTGGTTTTCCAGCAGAAATCCAAAAAAATCCAAGGTTTTTTTTAGTTTTCCAGCAGAAATCCAAAAAAAACACAGGTGTTTTTTGGTTTTTCACGAGAGACACAGCAGAAAAACAAACAAAAACATTGTGTTTTTTTGGTTTTCCACCGAAAATCCAAAAAAAGCAATGGTTTCGCCAAGGCAAAGCCCAAAAAAAACAAAAAAGACCTAGGAAAACCAAAAAATCCAAAAGTTTCGGGCCCCTCAGAAAGGCTTTGGATTTGTGGATTTTTGGTTTTTTGGTTTCCGCCGTCGTATCGTATGGTTTCTTTTAATGTTTCTTGCTTATGAATACAGGCATATGAATTTGAAAGCGGACATGAGTAGGCACGACGTTGTAAAGAGACATGACTTCACATCAGCCATGATAGAGAAGGTATCATCCCCGAAAATTACGCAAAACACGAATCGTATGCCAAACGCGAATCCCTGCCAAGAGAAGGTTTTGACGGTATTTACAATGGAAAAGAGGCCGAGGTAGGTCATGGTGGGGGGTGTGTCCATATATATATATATATATATATATGCTCACCCCCCCCCGTTGACAGACCATGCCCTCGTGATAGTGTACTCTCGTTCGGTGACTAGGCTGAGATATTGTATCTAAACACACCACACATGACGACAATCTGTCAAACAAATCCTTTACAGTACATATACCAAGTATACAAAAACATGCCATGTACTGAGGACGCATGGACCAGACGCGCGACACGTGAGTTATGAGTTTTGTGGTAGCATTGATATAGGATGAATATGAGTATTAATATTGGTATTAGTATTAGTATCAGCAATGGTATTAGTGTTTACTGTAAGTATATATATATATATGTATATACCGACAGTAGTAAGTATACATTAATGTTAGTGCTCATCGTCTTTTTAGTCTTAGTGTTAGTGCCAGTGTCAATGCCAGTAATAGTACCACTGCTAGTATTAGTATCAGATTTCATGTTGGGTTTAATATCAGTTAATAATGGCAGAGGTGCTAGTATTGGTACCAAGATTAGAGTTAGTTTCGATATGTTACTATTCTGATAGTTTTGTATATCAGCAGGTTAGTATATCAGTACATTGATGTGTTCGAGAGGCAACATATTTGTATACTTGCATATTCGTAGATTTAATACTTTAGTTCAACTGATGCATGAGTAAGCTAGTCGATTGCTGTATTAATATATTAGTATATTAACATACCAGTATATTCGTACATTAGTGTACTAGTATACTAGTATATGCAATATACGTGTATTGTCTAATGATTTATAGTAAGTATATCAGTATGTTGTCATATTAGTACACTAACCTGCCATGTCGGTATACTTGCATATTACAGTAGTCGTATACTAGTATAGTAGCATACTAGTATAATAGCATACTGGTATAGTATATTCACACATTAACAAGTAGTGTATTGTTACATTGGTATATGGGTATATGCTTGTCCTAAAGCATCAGTACATGAATGCATTGATACATATCGGCAAAAATGATATAATGGCATGTGTTCTGGTGTGCATTAGCATATACACGTGTCTTTTGTAATGGTATTAGTCTTCGCATCAATATGAATATGACTTTTGGTATTCGAAGGAGTATTAATGTTAATATTCGTATTAGGATTATCCGTAGTCGCATTAGCCTTAGTATAAGTGTTAATAATGGTATAATACTGGCATTATCTTGAATATTCAACAAGTTATCAATGTCAGTATTGGTGACAGCATTACTGTTAACAGCATAAGAGTATACGCAGTAGTATCCGTAGGAGTATCAATACTTATGTAAATCTTGGTGTTAGTAAAAACAGTGTGATTGGTATTAGTAATAGTGCTACTGCTAGTGCGAATATTAAAATGAGGTTATGTATTCGCATGAACGTTTGTCTTATATTAGTATTACTCCTGATTACATGAAAATACTAATGGATAAATACATGCATGAGCTAATGTATTTGTACTTTAATATAGTGGTATGTAAATTTATGTACATTAGTATATGCAGGTGTGTATTAGTATTGGTATGAAAATACACTGCTACCAATATGGGCATAATTATTGATATGCGTAGGAGTATGAACGTCAGTATTAACCATTATTAGTATTTGTATGGTGCCTATTCGTATTGGCTTAAAAAGTGTAAATATTAGCGTTAATGCTGGTATTAGCTTGGGCAGTCAGCGAATGATCAATGTCAGTATTAGTATTGGTAATAGTATTCGTACGAGTACCATTAAAAAAAATATATATATATATATATAAACACTGACAATCGTCTAAACAGACCTTGCCTTTGCAAGTGAGTCGCAGTGCATGGTCTGTCATCCGATGGGTCACAATCAGCCCATTGAAAATCAATTCCAAAATTTCCAAAAGTTCCGAAGTTTCCGAAATTTCCACAATTTCAGAAATTTACAAAATTCTCTCCCCTAACTTTCCGGATCTCCAAAAGTTCCAAAATTCCGAAATTTCCAAAACGGCCCGATCTAGGAATCTAGTCGACAGGATTTTTCCAAAACATAAGGGCTTTCTTTTTGGAAATTTTGGAAATTTTGAAAATTTCGGAAATTTTGGAAATTTTGGAAATCCGTAAAGCTAGGGGAGAGAATTTTGGAAATTTTGGAATTGAGATTTTGAAATCTGAGTGCCCCCTCCCCCCGATCACAGACCATGCACTACGACTGAGTTGAAAGGGCATGGTCTGTCAACGGGGGGGGGGGGGGTGACCATATACATATATATATATATATATATATATAATATACATATATATATACATATGTACTGCCATGAAGCTTGATTCCTACAATCGATGATAGTAGTCTTCCGCATTACACTGGCGCAAACACAGATACATCCTGGTCGCCGTACCTTGACCGACCTTCTTGCGCTCCGGAATGACCGGAGTGCGAGGGGGGGCCTCCCCGCTTCAACTGTTATCAGCATGAAGGTCCTGGACCTGGGTCACTAGAGTCACTACTGTACTACTTAAGTGAATTGGTAAACGACAACTCCTGCAGACTCCGCAGAGCTGGCTCAGGAACACACGAGGTGGACGTATGGAAGTTCCCCGACACTTGCCATTCATGAAACTATCCGAGGTTGGCCACAGACCCAGATTGCTATACTATATACATTTTGCCCATGTTGATCTGCGAAATGGACTTCGGAGACTGGGGCAACGGTTTTCCATCGCTGCCAATTGCTTCTGGTGGCTGAGCAGAGCTTGAGCCGCCTGTATACTTTTTGCTTTGGACGCCTTGCACTGCTTTGCTGTGCGGGCTGAGCGCATGCTGTTTGCGTATACTCTCCGCTTGCTCTTTGAATACTCTGTTTGGTTTCAGGGCACTCGGGACGAGGACGGCGCAAAACGCTGCTCTGCGATGCTTTTGGTCGCGTTTCAGACTCGCCTCGCTACTCCGCTACTCCTTTTCAGACGAGCTGCAGTGATGCTGTGCCACACGGGGGTGGTCCTGGCAGTGCGCAGGGCCCAAACAACGACATCTTGATGACTCAATGAGAAACTTATCTATGAAGTAGCAGGTAGCACGCCTCAACAACAAAACTTAAATCCGGCACACATTCCGGGCAGGCTGCTGCTCCATCAGCATTGATTGAGTGTAGATCAGGAGGTACCTGAGCGCAGTCTGCAAAGTGAGTTCGGGCCCCATTGCGGCCTGCACCGAATGCTTTGCGAGCCCCGGGCGGCATTGTGGGGATAGGTGTCTCCACATCCACCTGTAGTAGTTGCTTCGGCCACGGCTTTCGGAAGACGCCAGGCAAGAGAGAGACTTTGCAGTTGTTCTGCACACTGCTTAAAGATGCCTACAGTCGGATCTGCCTTGGAGGCAACTTCGCCGGCAGTCTCAGAAGCAACCTCGAAGCGCGCGGAGCCTTCCGGTTATCAGCTTGTGCGGGGCAATGCAATGCGACCCTCGGACAAGGCATCCGAAGGAACCAGTTCGGGATTTGGACGACACAGCGGACAACACTGTCGACAGAGTAGCATCCTATGAGGGCCGTTGTGCACGTTGAGGATTCTGTGACGGCTGTCTCATGGCCTTGTTGCCTTCTCTCCTGACTTTCTGGCGAGTCCTCTTGGAGAGCTCGGGCAAACTTCAGATCGCACCTGTTGGCGAATTCGCCACGTAGATGCGATACAGCTCCACTCGATCCTGCACCAAAGATGGGACATTGGCAGGGCTGCTCCCATGCCCATGCGCAGAATCTTGTATCTACTCCTTCGCCCCTAGTCCAGGGCTCCATACTACGTGGTGCCTGTGCAGCAGAATCCTGCGATTGGCGGTGCGACAATTGAAACCATGGTTCTGAAGTCATGTTAAGCCTGCAGCATAGGCAAGATCGCCCCGATTTGCTAACCTCCGCCCCCATCCTCGACCATGGGTGCGATCCATGAAACATTGCCGCCGATCTCCTGAACATCTAAATCCTCGGTCAGGTGCACACGAAGTGCTGCTGCCAAACTGTGAAGGGGTTCCCCTGAGCTCCGCGCCCTGTCTTCGAAGACTATGTCTGACACGCTGGCCACGGCATCGAAGATCTCCAATGCAACAGGAGTGGTCTGCCTGCGAGCGGGGACGAACCGACCGAAATCCTCCGCTGGGTATGGTCTGCACTCTTTGGCCCAAGCTGCTCTGCTAGCGGAGAAGCTGCGTAGACCAGGAAGTGGGTGTAGTTCAGCAGCGGTGTCTCAGCCAGGATGCTCACGTTGTACACCTCGCGTTGCAAAGTTTGCAAACTGCAAAGTCAACCTCTCGTTCACGAGCTCGCACAGCGTGGAGACCTCTCTGCGGAACACAGGACGAGCCACTCCGCGGGGCGCGATGCCCGTCAAGGACCTCTCCTTACCGGTGCTGTTCTCCGCCATGTACACATAGTACTCCAGCCTCAGAGCCACCCTCCTCACACCAAACTTCGGAATAGCAAAGAGCATCAGAAGGGAGGGGGAAGGAGAGAGTGGGAGGGGGGGTGGGAGGGAGAGAGGGAGGGAGGGAGGGATGGTGAACACAGCGACGTTGGAGGTTTGCAACTTGAGGCGGAGGCGTCCAGGAAGAGGGGCCGGAGACGAGTCCCAGGCTTTTGACCACCAGACGGGGGAGGGATGAGGGAGGGCAACATTCCTGAATTGCGCTCTAAATCTCCCATGCTGGCGGTTGCCGTCACGCTGAGAGGCCGGCACTTGTTCTTCGTCGTTCGGTGCTTCCCATAAAAGGTCTCCATACAAGTCGGTTTCGTCCAGGTCGTAGTCAAAGAAGGACACATTCCTCCGATGTCATCACTATGACTGCTGATGGTTGCACTTATGTGTCAGCCTGGGTAGCCAGCCTCAGTTTGTAAACCAGGTCTGTCCGGCACCCTCCCATTGCGGACCTCTATGTTCGGAAGATGAAGCGTCGGGTTGCTTTTAAAATGCAGTACCACTGTGGGCACCCAAAGGGTTTGAAGTATCCCATGTCCCACCTTCCTCGGGGGAGACACTCTCAGCAGCGTCATGATGCATATCGATAGTGATGCAATGCAAGGAAATGCATGCGCAGACTCTTCCTGTCTGGCCAGACTTGTTGGCATTCGGAGTCACGGTTCCAAGAGTTCTGGACAGATGGGAAGTGTCGTGCCCCTGCGCAGACCCAAGCTATGTGGCAACATGTTTCCCGGCACGCCCTCCAAAGGTCTGGCTGTTGCAATTATGAGCCCGAATATAACTCTACTGCGCATGCGTCTGAGCTACATAGGTTTCCAAGCATCGTGGCAAGAGGGCTGCGAAATGTAGTCCCGGATTCTCCGGATACACGATGAAAATCACCAGCAAAAGCAGGAAATTATGCCAGCGTAGATCTGAGAGAGCATCAAGACGACCAAAACAGCCACGAACCCACCATCACCTGGAGGACCACACCACCACGACCATGGGGAGAAGGATTTGGGCCATGGTCCGGAACCCTGCCAGTACAAGTGGGAATTGTTTCTACCGTGCAGTGCTTGGGGGTCTCCTGATGCTCTGTGGTGGGGTGATTTATCCGTGGTCTCCTGGCAGCTTGTGGGGTCCGACCCTGGCGGTTTGCGGCGGGTTTCCTGATTGTCTCCGGGTGGTCTCCTGATCGTCTCTGGCTGGTCTCCTGTGGTCTCCCCCTGGGGTCCTTGTACTGGCGGGCAGTGGTTGTTGACAGAAGCTTGTGGGTGCCCCTCGCGCGCTTGCTCCGATGCACTGGCAGACAACGACAACAACACCAACCACAACCCCAACCCCAACCAAAAACACATCCATACGCACACCCGCACTCACACCCACATACACCCACACCCATACGCACGCCCACACCCACATGACCACGACCAGCAACAACAAAAACAACAGCAAGAACACCACCACCACCACCACCACCACCACCACCACCACCACCACCCCACCACCACCACCGGGACCGGCCCTGGCACCGGCACCGGCAACAGCAACAGCACTGCACCAAGACCGACACACTGCCGACACCAACATCAACAGCAGCAGCAACCACAACCATCAACAGCATCAGCAATGATGACAATAGCAACAGTGACACTAGCAGTACTCGTCACACTACTGGTAGCAAGAAAACATGTAAACAACAGAAACAACGAGGACGATCGAAGCGAGAGAGCCAACAACAATGATATTGCAACAATGACAGCAACGACGAAGCAACAGCATCCGCAGCAACAGCAGAAGCAATGCCAAAGAGAAACATGATGGTCATGTTTGCCAACATGAGCCTCATGATAATGGCCCTCGGCCCTCGTCATCATCCTCGGCATCATCGCTACACGCGCCAAACTCAGTTTATGCATCATCCAAAGTCTGGTTTAAATTGTCTTCTCCATCGTCACCTTCATGACAACCATACTAACTACATTACTGCATCTTGCTCTCATCTTTTTCGCCGTAAGTATGCAAGTGGGCAACCATGTATGTGTGTATACAGGTATGTCAGGCTGCACATATGTCTGTAGGTAAATGAATGATGAATTATACGTATAATATACAGAAATGTATGCATGCGTGTTTAAGTATGTATGCAACTGCATGATTGAATTCAGGTAGGTGTCCGGATGTGTGGATATGTGCATCCATGCGTGCATGCATGCATGTGCGCACGTGCGTGTGTGTGTGTGTGTGTGTGTGTGGGTGGTGTGTGCGTGTGTATTCATGCTGCCGAAGGCAATAGTCAAGCGAGAGTCAGCACAGGTGACGACTTGTCCACAAACTGGTAGCCCACGGGAGTCGTCTGTTCCGCAAGCGTGGACCTGATGCCACATCCGGCAGTCATGCCAACTTGCGTGTCACAAAAATTTCGCAGGACCACGAAACCGATGCTGATTGTGACAGCGTTTGAAATCCCATGCCCATGCGAAATAGCCTAGCTTCTCAACTGCCATGAACCCTGGCCTTCCCGTCCATATCTAGACATCACAAGTGGATTGAACTGATTATATCACAGAGAAAGAGAAAGTCAACTTCGACTGAAATCCCAGCCGCCTGGTGTAAACGACGATCCGAGAGTAGTGCAATGGGTTCATGTCTGCTGGAGCCAGGAGATTGTATGTGCCCGCTGGGACATCGAGGCCTCGACCACAGAAGAGTGTGTGGCCACAGAATTTGCACTCAAGGAACTCTCGCAACGCCAGCATGCACTTGACCCTCTCGGCAAGCTGCCGATCTGCGAGTGGTCAGTCGGAACTAGCTCGTCGGTGGCAAGCTTCACAAGGTACGCTGAGACCCTGCAGCGATTGCGATGATCTACACTGAAGGGGCATTTCGCTCATCGCACGATCGGCGCCGTGCAGCACCCGTGGCCTCCGCACCGATCCTGGAGCCTCCCAGTGCACATCTCCGCCCAGGTCAACCTCATCGAGGTCTTGGTCTACGAACCTCCAGGGCGGGCTGTTGCACCCGGGACATCAGACTGTTGTGAGTCTCTTTACTTCGGATGCAGCCAGAGCCAGTTAAGCACAGGCACCTACAGGACGGTTTGTTGGATTCGGGTGTTCCGATGTGCGACAGACTAGGGATGAAGTCCCAAGACATCACAAGACCTTCTGAGATAAGTAGCGAGTATCACGCACCAAGACTTGAGCAAAGAGCTCATTGCACAACACCGGATTCCTTGTTTGTGTGGTCGCGGGACCCATTCTCTGAACTCACCAAACTCCTTGGGAAGTTAGCCGGACAAGTGCCGTGCAGGACCTGGCACCAACTGCTGTCAGGTACCTGTGGTACTGGTCAAAAGCTATCCCTTGGCAGCCTGATATTGGAAACGCTGGCAATCTCATCCCAGAAGACCAGGGTCATAGGAGTGGTCTGCTCCACCAGAGAGCTCAAGCTGAAGACTGCCACGTGTGTGTACGGGGGCACGCCTGCAGGGCTGGAGAACGGGGAAACTAAAGTAACTCAAGCTCCATGGAAGCAACTAGCTCGCCAGCCACGAAACTTGCATGTCGGATTTCGCCGGCTCTACATTTTGCAACGTCTAACAAGAATTCTGCGCACTGCGAGCCAGTAGTGTCAAATGTGGCCGTTGCCACCCATAACCGCGGAAAGCGGACATGTGTCCCAAAGCTTCGATCTCATATCTGCCTGTGTCTGGAGGGATGAAAAGGTCGTGCTCCCCAACGGATGCATTGCCCATGTAGGTCAGCAGGCACCAGTCCTGCCACTGTCGCTCAAGGAAGGCACAATGTCTTTTCCAAGAGTTCGACTGCTTTGGCTTAAATGCGAATCGACCAAGGTGCTGAAAAGGCCGTTGAGGTGTTGGCTTCCTCTGGCTGCTGCTGGTAGCTGGTGTTGCAGCCATCAGTCGTGTTAGCCTGCGCAGGCCGCCGACCGAAATTGGAGCTTCCGTTTCTGACGTGATCTTCTCTTGACCACTCCCACACGCCTGGCCCAAGTACACGACATAGTGAGTCACCTGTGTCGCAGCAAACTAGCATGCCCCTCGTGACACCGCGTGTGATCCAGATGTCGGGCATGTTGTGCGTCCGGTGCTGGAGAGAGAGAGAGAGAGCTGTGACGCAGGCCTAGTCTCCAGACAAGCATGGCACATGAACAAAAGCCATTCTGTCACAATGCGACGACTCATGCCGGTACCATGTGCTTCTGCTACTGCCATTGCTGCCACAGTGGGCATTCGCACCTGGCTGGTGTCGTTCGGTGCTTCCCAGGAGATGGTCCCTCCAATGTCCTGCAAATTCCAAAGCTAGAAAAAGGTGCTTAGCTGCTATCCGGGTTGCCACTTGAGGCCCCCGAAAAGGTTTTATGTGGGGATCTCGCAACAGCACACATCCTCCAGATCCAGATCAAAGTCTGGAAAGGAGATGTCACGGACCAGCGACACCTGCCCGAATTCGCTGACCCTCGACCCTGCACCACACCATCAAAGGTCGCTGAGGAGATACTTGCTGCACGCGAAACTTCCTTGCAGTCACCCGACACTCGTCCCTGCCTTGTCCTCAAATTCCAGGGCTACTGGCGTAGTCTGTTCCGCAAGCCAGGACTTCGTGTAGACGACGAAGTGCGTGAAGGCTGCCTTACAAAACAAGAGTTGCCATTGGCTTCTCACTGTACAGCTCTTCATTCGTTGTCGGTATCCGGCACGTGCAAATCCTGCCAAGTCTCTTTGGGCGTCTCCGCGGGCCACAGCACCTCTGTGGTCCCGACCGGAATGCTCCCGCTGGGATAGTTCAGACGGCTCTTGCCCATGGAGCTCTCCGCCAAGTACAGCCTGTTCGGATTATCTCTGAGGACCAGGGACTCAAAAGGTGAGTTTATCGGAGAGACTTTGGGTCCCAGTGCGACAAAGAGACTCGTAGAAGAGGACTTGGCTGTGGCTCGCAGGAGCCTGCCAGTCCACGTAGCCGCCCAGCTCATCCCAATCGAGATCCTGACGGACAGCACGGCGCCTGCAAGGCTCCAAGGAGCGATGTGAAAGACGAGAGGCCTTGTCAGTGAATCCAATGTTGGAGACGCTAGACACCGTGTCGATGATTTCGACCTCAAGCTGCTCCGTTCGGCATGCATGCGTGTGCTGTCTGCGCCACCTCAGTCTCTTCAGGCCGCGGGCATAGCGCGGAGTCGTCTGCTCGGCCAAGCTGGAGCGCGCGAAGACTGTTAGGAACCTGGCTGCGGCTAGTGTAGATTGAGGCAATCAATGGTGGCAACCGTGGACTTCGAGGAGGGAATTTGCACACTATACATCGTTACGTCCCAGTGTTCTCAACCAAAAGCGCAGCACCTTTCTGGAGGCTGTCAGTGGTGCCAGGGGCACTGCTGAAGCAGAGCTTCCGCTCGATAAAAAACAAGCACGACTTCGCTCCAGGAACATTGGGTCGATTATTGGGTGATAGCTTGCCTCGTATCAAGGTTGTCGAACTCACCACTTGACACAAACAGGTAGAAAACGGCAGAAGCAGCCATGCAGCTGAGTGCTGAACCTACCACAGGCGTAAGGTCTGGACTCCGACCGGACCTAAACTAAAAGACGAGCAGCCTGAATGACTCCAAGGCGGTGTCCGCCGGGACGTGGAACTCATGCGTTCCGACCTCTCAGCACAGTGCTGAAATTCAAGCCTTCAAAGTTCAATTCACTACGTGTTCAAAGCGAAGTGTCATATGGCCTATGAAGCATTCTACTGTAAACTAATTAACCGGAAAGCCAGTCGCCTTGCAAACACCGTTGTAAGAAAACGAGAGGCGGCGACAAAGAAACAAAGAATCCGTAATCACAGTACGAAGATGCCAGCGGCAACCATCAACAGTAGATGGATTTTGAGTGCAGGCGTTGATAAAGATCTAGAAACATTTCATCCCAATCGTCGATTCGGAGGCAACTGGACCCGCATCTTCGTGCTGACGGAAAGGCTAAACTAAACTTGCCCATTTTGGATGTGGGCCTTTCGGTGGGTGCCTTCCGCAGCACTCTCCCGCGGCTGCGCCTCACACCCCTAAATCCCGATGGCACTAGATTGTCTTGCAACTCTTCTGCCTCGAGCAGGTTAGGACAAACCACCAGGTTCTCGTGGTATAACCTTCTGGGGAAACCATTCATCGCATGCTCGGTGATATCCGACGCACGTGGCCTCATTCGCGCTTTCGGCTCCGTTTGGATGCCGTTGCCGTGAAAGACGGGTCAACAAGTGCCGCACGGTGTGAGGAGATGGCAAACGATCGAGCAAACATCAGACATCGCAGGCCAAGACAGCTGTCAAAACAACAGCATTGAGAGTCGTCTCGGCAAGAACATAATCTGTTCAAGCTGCCGTCACGTTTCCCAGTAGGCTTCGGTTGTCGCCAGCTTCGTTCCTGCACACGCGAAATCTCGGCTCAAAGCGACCAAGTGACACTGCTGGGCTTCCGGGTTGTACTGGGAAATAAAGAAACGGATGCTACTCCGGAGCACAGGTTCTCAGCCAGGTAGACAATGTAGTGCGTGACCTTGCAAGCGCATGTGCTCGAGGCTCAGCACCGCTAGCTCCCTAGCTAACCAAAAAACCACAAAGACCATGTTGTTGCAGGGAAAGCTTTGATCTCGCATGATTCGAACCAGTCTGCATCGTTAAATCTCCTTCGATGTTGTAGCTGCAGCTGATGGTTCATGTGATGATGAACCTCGTGAAGGCGACATGAACCCGATCATGGACTTACCGTGAGTTGCAATTGTTTTGCCGATGCTGCTAATACTATGCAACTGCTTATCTTCTAAATGCCGTTGTCATCTTATTGTTGGTATCCCGATGCTCACAACAGATTCACTCGACAAAGAAGAGGGATATGATCGCGTACCATCATTGCTCGTTCGGCTCCGGGCTCCAGATAAAGCATTTTGATACAAACCTCTTTTGGGCCCCAAGCTCCGAAGCCCGCGAAGTTTCAGCTGCTACAGCCCTGCGGCCGCAAGGCCGTCTGGGATAAAGGGAACATAGCGGAACTTTCACAGCTACGCTTAGGCCCTTAGGCGGTGTGTGGAGTGCCAAAAGGGAAAGCTGAAGTTTATCTGTGGTTTCCTGGCCAGCAGCATCATGCCACGGCGTGCAAAGAATCCGCAGTCTTGTCTCCAAGACTTTCCTGCAAAATGTTTTCAATCGATGAATGCTCGCCGGGATTCCTCGCTGGCATCCTCCGGAATGCGCCACTGCAGCCAACCACCTGCTAACATAAGTGTCAGCATCCGCTTCGATTGCTCAAAGAGCCAACAGCACAAGCTACGGGGATGAGAGGTATTTTCCTGCGTCGGTTGGGAGACCGTGAAGAAATCATATTGCTCACTGAGAGACCTAGCTCATTCTCGTCCAAGTCGTCGTCGACAAAGCTCACGTTGCGCGCATAGGAAACTTCATCCTGCGTCACTTGTTACGTCAACAGCGAGACAAGCTGGCGGTAGTCTAAGGAGTACTTGCACGAATCACTAAACACCAAACCACCTCACGGTGTGTCATGTTGGTCATTAGCGATACGCGGACAGAAAACTGAAGTCTAAGTCCGTGTACACCGGTACGAGCTACTAGTTCACACATACAATGTCACACACACACACACAAGTTGTCACATCGTGAGATAGTGGGATAGTTGATTCCTGATTGATTGGCTGATTGACCGATTGCTTGACTGATTGTTTGGTTCAGACGCACAATGCACATGTGCACGAGAAGCAAGAGTCACCTCTATTGCCAGGAACACCGGCGTGGTCTGTTCCACGAGACTGGACCTTCCAGAAGCAGCGAGGCAAGCACACACTGCTTGTGCCCACAACCATTGAGATACTGCAATTACTGTAGCCTCTAGACAAGACTGCTTGGAAGCTCGTCGAAGAGCTGCTCGAGTTGCAGGACTCTGGGCTTGGGTATCACGGTCTGTCAACCCGAACATGGAATGCCGCCCACCCAAAGCCGCTGATGGCCTTGTGTACACCTCGGTCAGCAAAAAACACGTATTGCACATCCTCCTACAGCCACAGCAACCCCATCTGAGGTCACCGAGACGATGTTGGCAGGTGAATTGCGATGAGCAAGCTGTAACCGTTGTTCTCGTCACTCCAAGAATAGCAAGCAAAAGCTCGTGGCTCAAGACTCCGTGCCGAGGCACCGTGAAGAAGTCGAAGGCGCCTCTGGGCTGTTCCTGCATTGCAGGGCGAGGCTTTGAATCAAATCCACTTGTGAGCTCGGGAACACCGCTTACAAAACTTTCTATGGTCCAAGGCTTTGCACTCGCAGTTTGCTGCAGCTGCTGACGAGCAGCTGGGAAGAGTGCAGTGTCGTGAGTGCCCGCAGGAACTTCGCCTCCAACCTTGCCACAGGTCCAGGTCTCGAACAAACCTCCTATTTACGAAGGGAGGCAGATTTTTGGGGGCACATCCAACCAAACTGTCTGAACGCATGAGCAGGAGATTACACCTTGCCCTACTCACGACTCATTTTACCAACTCGGGCGTCTGGCCTGGGACTTGCCTGTGCCATCGGAGAGGATGGCCAAGTAGATCATGTAGCCTCCCAAGACTGAATGTTGAAGTTGGTGGTCGGAGTTCTTGCAACTGTGTGATGAAGGCAAGGGAGAAGTACTGAAGAAGCCCATGAGAAAGTAACGACAGCATATTCGGTCAGGCGAAACTCCGAACCCTCGATCTCCACCAGGCCTGGAAATCCCTTCATGCACGGCCCTTGACATCCTTGCCGACCATCCGTCTTTATACAAAAACCAGACTGACGATCAGGTCAGGGTACAAGCGAGAACGTCTTCCAATCCTTCCTCCCCAACCGCCTAGAATCTCCAAGAAGCCCATGTCATCCCAGCAAGGTTAAGCAGCTCCGAATGGTCATACAACAGACTTACAGCCATACAGCGGCGTTGAGATCGTGTATTGGAGAGAGGCTCCTGGCATCCCTTACCAGTTACTATAGTGCCTTGCACCCTTTCCATGAGCTCCGGCTCGACCCACGCAATCTGACCGCCGAGCTCCAGAGAGTCCAAGTCCTGCCGCAGGCGGAACGGATTACGGTAACCACCTGGATGATCCACACTTGCACACACGCACTCGTACACACACACACACACAAACACAGACAGAGACCCACATACACACACAGACACACAGACACACAGACACACAGACACACAGACACACAGACACACAGACACACAGACACACAGACACACAGACACACAGACACACAGACACACAGACACACAGACACCCAGACACGCAGACACGCAGACATGCAGACACACAGACACACAGACACACAGACACACAGACACACAGACACACAGACACACAGACACCCAGACACGCAGACACGCAGACACGCAGACACGCAGACACGCAGACACGCAGACACACAGACACGCAGACACACAGACACACAGACACACAGACACACAGACACACAGACACACAGACACACAGACACACACACAGACACAGACACACAGACAGACACACACACACACAAACACAACACACACACACACATAGACACATAGACACATAGACACATAGACACAGACAGAGACAGAGACAGAGACACAGACACAGACAGAGACACACACACACACACACACCCGCGCACACACACATGATATATACGCGTTTCCATGCAAGCCGTTCGGGTTGTAGCTTTGTCCGTGTGGGGCCAAGAGCTGAGACTAACTCAACTTGTTGACACGCCTGAAAGTCGAACCTTAAGATAATGTGAAATCTGTGAACAACATAACCGCAAATTTTGTCTGTACGTAGGTTGAATGAGTTGACTTTATGCATTTATGCATATTCACATTATGTGACGCGACGTGAGAATATGTGACATCCTGAAGCAGTTGTCAATTCTGTCCCGCCGAAAGCTGACGAACGCTTCGTTGTCAATTCTGCCGGCCTTGCCCTGGTAGGTAATGTTGCTGACACTGGCATCCATGTCATAGATCAAGTGTATCTCCTTCCAATCAATGCTTTCAGGGATTGTGCTTGACGCTCAAGCTTGGGTCTAGCTACGTTGATGAACTCGAAAGCACCCATCCCCGAAGCAGCCAGAATCCCACAGCTCGAAATCTTTGACACAGCGCATGCTCTCTTTCAGCCATCAGGCTGGACTTGACTAGAACTCAGGAAATTTCTTTCCGCTCCACCTACACAGCTTCGAACCCCAAAGAGGAGCACAAACATATCTGGGTCACCGGAGTGGTCTGCTCCGCGAGAGGCGATGAGCTGTACACAAGGAAGTGAGTGTACCTGGGTTGATGTGTCGCTCTCTGGGATGAGGTGGGGCCAGATTCATGTGGCGTCGTTCCGGTGCAAACGAGCGACCTCTCCAATGCAGTGTCCGGTGGCACAGTGAAATTGTAGGTTCCATTCGATGCATTTCCAAAGAGTGTCCTGGCCACCAACGTGACCAAGGCTACCGGGCCTAAACCTGCTGGACCGGAACCGAAGCCCTTCCACCTCACACGTGATGACAAGAAGAGCACTTGAAGCTCCGCTTCATGTTCAGAACAGTGTTTCAACCGGCACTGCGTATTATAGCAGAGTTGGCGATGGCTTGCACTGTTACAAACTCTCCTGTAGCACATCACCAGGCCGGTGAAATTGACCTTGCCCACGGCGGCAAAAGGGTCGAACCTGATCGTCCGGTTGCCCACACTGTTGCCCACAATGAGAGGGGTTGGGTTGAAGCAAACTACACCAATGTTTCTTTCCTTCTGGCCGCGACTTGATCAATACTTCATACTTGTAGAAAAAAGACTAATAGCGCAACACCTACGCCGTCTTTGTACCCATCAATCGCTTTGACCTTGCTGCCGCTGTGCCACTGCTCTGGTCGCTCCTACCAAGAAGAAAGCAGTAGCGGTGGTAATGTGGCGGCCCGTTTACTAGGGGGCCCCCCCCTCCCCCCTCCCCCCCGGCCAAAACTTTTGGCTTGAATAGTGTGGTGTCCGCCCAGACCAGGGTCTGGTGGCTTTGATTAAGTTAGAAGGGAATTGAGGGGTCGGGAGGTTTGTGGAGGGCCTGGGGAGGGGGTCTAAGGTTCTCCGCGGATGCCCGGGTCGGGATCGGGATCACCAACAGCTCGAAACCAAGCCTGGTCCTCCCCGATCACTTGGAGGACTTTTCATTCTAGCCTACACTCCCCTCCACAATCGACCAAGTCTGAGGCCTGGTGCTGTACAGTAGTACAGTGGTAGTACAGTAGTAATACAATACGAGGGTTCAGGGGTACCTAGAACTGTTTAGCGGGGTTTGGGATGAGCAAAGGATCGAAACCAAGCCCCGATCACTCCAAACTAACTAGGAAGACTAAAACCCTTTCATTTTGAAGTCTTTTCCTTCCAGCCTACACTCCCCTCCCCAATCGACAAAGTCTGACCCCTGGTAGTGTACAGTAGTGGTACAGTAGTAGCGTAATAGTACGGTAGTAGCACAGTAGTAAAACAGGAGTAGTACAGTGGTAGCGTAATAGTACAGTAGTAGTACAGTATGGTGAGGGTTTCGGTTTAAGCGGGGTTTCGAGTTTAGGGAAGGCTTCGGGCTTCAGCGCCAGGTTTTTAGGGCTTGGAGTGGGGGTTTAGGGTCGTGGATGCCGTAAGAATGACCACCAGCAGACAGGAGCCCACGAAAAAATACACTACCAAAAAACAGCATTAATTAGGCAGCCAGTTTTGTTGGTACCGGCTCGAATAAGGAAAAAACAAATGCATTTACTAGGCCCGCTTTATCAAAAAGGGTCGCCGCATGAGCAGGAGCAGTAGCAGCAAGAGCACTATTAGTACAGCAACAGCACTGCTTAAGAAATCATTGGTTTAGGGAATTGAGCCCCTCGGACAGCCGTGCGACAAAAAAAGTGCATAAAATGCGCGCATTCAAGATAAACAATTCAGGGTACCCTGGACTCCGCGCGTGCCGATTTCTTACTTTGCTCTTCTCATTTTGTCTTCGCTGGTGTTGCTCGCAAACAAAGGAAACCAAGAACCTAAGGGAGTAGATTTCGTATTCCTAAAGCTCGGCGCCAAACCCTTACAAAGGAAACCAAGAACTGAGAGCACAGGAGGTTTCGAGCCTACAGCAGTCTCCATTCCAGCTCATGTGCTTATCCACTCGGGCATGGCATCCTTCAGACTATATCAACGCATCATATCAATCCCAGCTTGTATTCAGCCCTTACGTACCAGAACCCACCAAAATAAGAAATCGAGCCCCTCAATTTCTTAAAGTTAAGAAATCGAGCCCCTCACTTTCTTATCTTGGTAGTTTTTTCCTAAATGGCACGACAAAGCTTAATTTCAGGCCTCATTAGCTTTGGAAGGCTCTCGAGGCTTTGTCAGGGCTTACATTTAAGTTTTGCCATATAGCCAAACAATCACCAACATAAGAAATTGAAGTGCTCGTTTTCTTGAATTGCAGAAAACCAGCGGCTCGATTTCTTATTTCGTTGGGTTCTGGGCTTGCCTAATAAGGCCTTGATAACAGCTCTGGAGGGCTCTAGAGGCTTTCTTTGTAAGGGCTTAATAAGGGTTTAAATTAAGCTTTGCCACAGAGCGAAAAAAGCCACCAAAATAAGAAACTGAGGGGCTCGATTTCTTTTTTTGAGGGGTTCTGGTCAGGGCTGATTACAAGCTGGGTAAAAAATGGGATTGATATGATGTCGTGTAAGAAGTCTGAAGGATGCCATGCCCGAGTGGATAGGCATATGAGCTGGAATGGAAGATGCTGCGGGCTTGAACCCTCCTGTGCTCTCAGTTCTTGAAGTTGTGTTTTATTTGCTGCCGTTTCAAATTAAGAACTTTGGGTCAAGACATTACCCTCAAATCCCGAAACGATCATACTAAATCAAGGTGCGCTTAAAACATAAGAATTCGAGCCCCCCCTCACGAACAATTAACTGCTTCTGAACCGGAGCTGTCGTCGTTGCAGTACCATTGATATTGCTGTTATTGTTAGTCGTAATATTCTCAGTAGTGTTAGTTGTAGTCGTCTTGGTGGTACTGGTGGTGGTAGTGGTAGTGGTAATGGTGGGGTGGTGGTGCAACGTACCACGCGGTGTAACACTCCTGAAAGGAGTCGCGAATCATAACCAGAAACTCCTTGCGATGCCAAGCCACAGAGGTGCTGAGGACAGCCTTCGCAGTTCTCTCGCAGTTTCGTTCCACCAGCTCCAGTTGCCGCCCTGAGTGGATCTCTTGAAGCCCAAACCGCACAACTGGTTTGAGTTCAAGCTCGATGCCAAAAGAACTCCTGACAGATGTTCCGTTGCATTGAACTTGAACTGAAAACAGGTGTTTGGCTTGAGCTGGCTACACCCTGATGCTTGGCTCGGATGCAAACACATTGGGTAGCTTCGTGAGATGTCGCGATACCGAGAGTTTGGTGCTTATGTGTTCGCAGCTTCTCCCACGCATGAAGAGCTTGTGGCAAAATATCTTTATGGAGACGTTGGGGGAGATGAACTCGGCACAGGGGCTAGGTCTTTCCAGCTGCAGAGGTTTCGGGCTTTCCGGGGGCTTTCCGGATGCGTCCCATGGCGAGAAACTGCCGTGCACCTGCCTGTGACCTCGGTGTAGCTTAGTGGCTGTTTCAGGATCCGTGTCGGCCTCGTCCCAGGTGGTTGACGAAGTCGTTGAGACTGTATACTCCTGCCATCGACCGCCTTCTACACATGTGGTGACATGCGTTGCGAAGAGCAAAGGCCCTGCATCGATCACTGGTGTATCACTGCATCCTAAGCGTGCTAAGGTCGTTCTTTTTGTTGCATTGGGTCCTCGGAAGATGTCTGGTTTGCACCATCGCTATCATCACTGTCACCTAGGTCCCACGGTTCCACATCGTGGTATCGAAGAGCCGCTTCTGCACATGAAGGAACGAATATTCAGAAATCTAGCCGCTGTCGTCTGTCGATTCACTGGTGGAGAACGACTTCGTTGAAGTGGTCGAAACGGTTCGCGAGGTTGCACGTGCTGCTGTGGTTGATTCCTCCTGACATAGAGCAAGCTGCGCACATGGGTATATTGTGGCATGTCCTTGGGCTTCCGCGGGCAACCTGGACCCTGAACCTTGGCCTAACCACCGGGGTGGATTTGACGTGACGGCAGCGAGGAGACGGCATGCAAAATCCAAGGCGAATTCTCTCGCCTCTTCGGTGGCGGTTGTCGATCGTGTTGTATTGTCACTGTCTTCCTCCTCGTCGCTGTCGTCAGCCGAAGTCGTGGTCGTAGAAGGGAGAGGACGCACTGTGGCATCGTCTCGGCTACTGTTCGTTGAGTCCTCTTCGCCAGCAGCCCAGGTCGTTGAGGATCTTGTGACAGTCAATGTATGCGTTGTCGGCGCTGAAGTCATCGCGGTGTCCTCAAGAGCACCGCTGTGGGGGGGGGGGATCTGCTCCGCATGATGGCATGATTTGCGATCTATGAATTCCTCTTATCAACTTGACCAGCTACTGGTTCGTGGGCAGATGCTGTCATTGAGGCTTCAAGTTTCGAGATGTCGGAAGGAGGCCTGCGAGATGCTTTCATGAATGCGGCCCAATGTCCTCAATCCCAATCCGGTGACACGATAAATGACTGCAAGAATCTTCAAGCTAGCGACAGTTTATTCGCCGGCAAGAAGTGGAACAGAGGATGACAGTTATGAAGATGAGATAATTAAGTCCTCCATTCCGTTTTCAGTGCTGTTTACTCTCGTTTCAGGAACCCGTGCCAAGTTCCTGCGTTGTAGTGTTGATCCGCGCTTCTGAAATCAAAGTACTTTTCTCGAAAGACTGTGGGACTAGCAGACAATCTGAGGCCCGGTCGTTGCTGACATTCGCGAAATCCGTCTCCGTGACATTAATTTCCGAGATGACCACGGGCGTGACAAGACTAGGGAGCATGTAGGCCACCTTGAGACATCATGGGTTCGAAAGTCAGGCACTCGCACTCAACCTGCAGTCCGCAATCATTCTGTGGCCAACAGACAGGCAGTTAAGCTTTCTTTCAAGCCTGCTGACTGACACGACTGTCAGCTGCATCTGTAGGATGTGGCCGCCGTGCAGCGAAAGCCACGATGTAGCCAAAACGACTGTTGCAGGTTTCGAACATGTCTATGCGCACCTACAACTTGAATATGATACCGACTGCTTCCAAGTTTCGGTCAGCTTACATGGGTGGTTGTCAAGATTATGTTCCCTTTTTGGGTGCCCTAAATATTAGGTGCCGTACCATATATGGGATCCAAAAAGGGACCATAATTTTGACAACCACCCACATGAATATGCAGCAGTACAGTAGCATAGGCTACAACCCCTGCTCGCTCGCATGCCAAGAAACTCCTGGACTTAGTCACTTAGTCAATCAACATCTAAGGGCACAACTCTTCTGCTCTTGCAGCCGTTCTAAACTTTGACTTACCATTCAAGAAGCACCACCTGGAACCCCAAGCCACTAGAGCTAGCAGCTTAGCAATGCAACCAACCCGAATCAATTCTGCTGAAACGCCGTAGGTGACGTGAAGCTTTGCACCGTCAAGCTGGCCACATCCGATCCTTCACGAAGGCTTGGAGTCATGTAGCAATTGAGTACTGGTTCTGCGCCCGGAGTTGCTACGAGACTCACAACTTATTGACTGGCCGCAAAGAGTACTGTACTGGGCAACCGTTCTTATTGTTATAGCACTTGTAGAAGACATGTTAACATAGTGATAGTCTCAGCCGAGACTTCGGTGTGTAGATTTAGTGTCTGCCCAAACTCTCAACTCTCCTTCCCACGCATGCTGTGGTGTTGGGCACAAGCGCTTTTGAGACTCTCTCCCTGCGGAACCACCCAAAATTCTGTGAAGGTCTGGCCTCCAACCCCTCTCCCCGAAAATCCGCGCAAAGTGTCCGCTCCCGCCACCCCCCCCGCCCCCGTGTGGTGCGAGGGGATGCAGGGCAGCAGCTTTCTTCAACTCCGGGCCCACACACCTGGGCTCCTCCTGGTCCCCCCAGATGGCTTGGGTCTCTCTTCGGCAGGGAGGTCTCGAAAGGGTCTGTCTAGGACTTTCTCAGCTTTGGTGCCGGATTTGAAATGGGGCCTCATACCTTTTTTGGTGCCCTGCCGCAACCAGTATCGGTATTGCCAAAATTTTGGCCATCAACCTACTGATTCACCGCCTCGCGATGGGCTGCTTCAACTTCTTCCCGAACCAGCAACGACAACCGCAACAACGACAACAACCACGACGAAAACAACGACAAAAACACAACGCCGACGACTAGGACAACAACAACAACCACCCCCACCACCACGACGACGAGAACACCAACGAGAATGAGATTAACGACAACGACAACAAACGGCGAGCAGCAAACAGCAGACAGTACACAACAACCCCTCCTAAACAGAAACTAGCAAACAGCAAACATCGGAAAGAGACAACACTAGCAACAACAACAACAACAACAACAGCAACAGCAACAGCAACCGTAAACGCAACCGCAACCGCAACAACACTAAATAATAACAACAGCAACAACCAACAACGCCGCCAAGCAGCAAGCAGCAAAGAGTGAACAGCAACCGTCCAACGGCAAATAGCAAACATCAAACTGGACAACAACAACAACCACCGCAACAACAACAACAACCAGAACGAGAACAACAACAATAACAATAACAATAACAACAGCGACAACAACAGCCAACAACACCGACAACAGCACCACCAGCACCAGCACCGCAACACCATCGCCAGCAACCAAAAACCAAGAACTCAACAAACAACACCAATAACAGCAACAACTACCAACGAAGGCACAACCAACACACAAACAAAATAGAAACAAACAACCAACCAACGACCACCACAACAACAACATCACAGACAACGACAACAACAACGACAACAAGTAGCAAGCAGAAGACAGCAAACCAACAACAAGGAAGTAGCAAACGGCAAACAGATGCAAACAGAAGACCACAACACCAACACCGATACCAACACCCCCCCCCCCCCCCCCCCCCCCCCCACAGCAACCAAACCACCACCGACAACACCAACAACATGAAGACCAAACAACAAAGAACATTAATAGCTAACTAACTGTCTTTTTATCTAACTAAATACCTCACCTAACTAAAATACCTAACTTACTGTACTAACTTACTGTACTAACTAACTAACTAACTAGCTAGCTAGCTAGCTAACTAACTAACTAACTGAAACTAACTACCTACAGCAACAACAACAACGACAACAACAACAACAACAGCAACAACAACCACGACAGCAGCACCACCACCACCAACAACAACAACAACACAACCACCAACACCAACAGCAGCACCACCACCAGCAGCAGCAGCAGCAGCAGCACCAGCACCAGCACCCACAACAACCACAACGACAACGATGTCGTTGCGAGACAACGATCAAGACAAAGACAAACATCATAACAGCAACAACCACAACAACAATAACAAGAACAACAACAGCAAGAGCCAAGGCCAGAGGAACAAGACTAAGACCAAGAACAACAACAACAACAACCACAACCACAACCATAACGAGAACAACAACAATAACAATAACAATAACAATAACAACAGCGACAACAACAACCAACAACACCGACAACAGCACCAGCACCAGCACCGCAACATAATCGCCAGCAGCCAAAAACCAAGAACACAACAAACAACACCAATAACAGCAACAACTACCAACGACGACACACCCAACACACAAACAACATAGAAACAAACAACAACGACAACGTCAACGTCACGTCTCAACGTCAACGTCTCAACGTCAGCGACGACGACGACAACAACAACAAGAGCAACAGCAACAGCAGTAACAACGACGACAACTGCAGCAACAGCAACAGCAGCAACAGTAACCATAGCAACAACGACAACAACCGCAGTCACGGCCATAGCCACAGCCACAAAAACCAAAAACACGACCAACAGCAGCGAACGTCAAGCACCAGCACCAGCACCACCAATGAGTAACAACAACAAAACCACCAAAACCAAACAGCCAGCAGCAAACTGCAACAAGTAAACGTCAAGCCGCGAGTAGCAAGCAACGAGCTGCAAACAACAACCAGCAAGCAGCAAGCAGTAAACACAAACAGCACAGGTCGTTGTTTGGCCGCATTCACCCTGCTTTCTGAAGATAACCTGCGCACCTGTACTGCATTATTGGAAGCCCATGAGCTCAGGAGCGGGTATCTTGTCACGTACTCGAACACTCCAGTTTATAATAGAGTCGAAAATAACAATTTGGTGGACGAGTCAGGAGGGTCCAGGGCTCCAGGAGCCATTGGGAGGCAGCCCGCGTACTATATTCAAGTACATTGCTGCATTTGTACTTAAGCTGTCTGTTTGGAGGCCCGACACTCCAGGAACGTTCCGTGACTACATCGGTACTGGAAAGCACGGGCTTGGAGGGTCCAGGGGGTCAGCAGTAACGCCAAGGAGACCACTAAGACCCCACCGGCAGACCACCAAGAACCATCAGGAGACCATCCAGAGGACAGCAACAGAAGACCACCCACGACGAGCACAGCGACCAGGACGAGAACACCAAAAAAAAAACCAAAGCGCCCACCAAGAGATCACCAGAAAAAAAGACCACCAGCAGACCACCAGGAGATCAGCAAGACCACCAAGAGACCACCATGACACATCAAGACCACCAGGAGACTAAGAGACTAACAAACGACACCATCCAGGCGGTCATAGCCACCCGTCGCTTTCCCCGAGTTTCGAGAGCAGAACGTAGCCCATGCAAACTATTTGCAATGCGGCATAGTAGTAGTTGGTTGGCTGCCGTTAGTATTGAGTAGCTACTGCAGTCGCTTGTCGTGCTTACTGTTATTACTATAGTAGTAGTAGTAGTAGTAGTAGTAGTAGTAGTAGTAGTAGTACTAGTAGTAGTAGTAGTAGTAGTAGTACTAGCACTAGTGGTAGTAGTAGTAGTAGTAGTAGTATTAGGGGTAGTGGTAGTAGTACTAGTACTACTGGTAGTACTAGTAGTAAGCACCCCGGCTCTTGCCTGACTAGCTTTGCGTAGATGCCATGGCATGCAGATCCTCGTTACTTAGTCTTCACGGGTATCTTGCTTCTACTCTTGTGTGCACTGTTGGTGACTTGGGTAGAACCAAGCCATGCAGGTGCCCACAGGCCAGGCTCCCGGTGTGCAGGTGCCAGCAGGCCAGGCTCCGGTGCTGTGAGTACGGGCTCCGGGTCCGTGGGTACGTACCCCCCACCGTGACGAGACCCAACCCATGGGCTCAGTACATCCAAGCAAAGCCAGTCATTCGCAGTGCCGGCCCGGTCCCAAGTCCGGGGTGAGTTCCTGGCTGAAAACCTTCCCTACTGCTCATCCGTTTACCAGAACTCATGGTGTGAGGGTGCCAGCTCTTTCCGCTGGAGCTGGGGCACGCAGCGCATTCGTCCACGCTGTTTCACAGCATGTGCGTGCCGAAGCAAGCGGAGATTCAGTCATTTACAGGTAACCAGGTCCTACTCACGCCTTTTGTTGCCAACTGTCAAAGCTTGTTGCATCGTTTGCTTCAGATATCCGATGAAGTGTTTAGCTGCAGATCATCGCTACCTTGTCCCGAATGCTGACCGAAAGCTGGCGGCGGCAACCTACCCCATCCTGGGTGGGATGGCCCACACTGGGTCCCGGCCCCACGTATGCTTCGAGATGTGGTTTGGATTTTGACACGTGCGTCCCTCCAGGTCACAGCTGGTACGTGCGAGAAAGCTGTGTTCCGGCGATGCTCGTCATCCAGACCTCCCTTGGGTGCTGAAATCTCTGGAGTGAGCCTAGTGGCGCCATTGACGGCCCGTACTGTCTGATGCCTAATGTGCCATTTTTGGACATTGCACTCATGCTTCTGCTAACCAGCCGTGTAAGCACGCGATGCACTCGCGTCGTTTGTGCTCCGTGATGCCTTTGACAGTCTGAGCACTTCTGACTTTGATTTGTACATGTGGTATCCACCGTTCGCATACCTAGTCAGTAAGAGCGAGAACGCCGGGTCTTGCGAATGCACTGAGTAGGCCTCGAGTTCGCAGCTATTCATTGCAGAACTCGACCTTATGGTCATAGTGCGCTAGAGGCACCGGTGCAATGCACTCCCATTAGCCTGACACGCCAAGCTGAGCAACCGGTTGCGATTGGAATGAAAAATGGTGGTAGTCGTAGTAGTCGTCGTAGTAGTAGTAGTAGCAGTAGTAGTAGTAGTAGTAGTAGTAGTAGTAGTAGTAGTAGTAGTACTAGTAGTAGTACTAGTAGTAGTACTAGTAGTAGTACTAGTAGTAGTACTAGTAGTAGTACTAGTAGCACTAGTAATAGTACTTCTAGTACTAGTAGTAGTAGTAGTAGTAGTAGTAGTAGTAGTAGTAGCAGCAGCAGCAGCAGCAGTTGTAGTAGTAGTACTACTACTACTACTCCTCCTACTACTGCTAGTACTAGTACTAGTAGTAGTCGTCGTCGTAGCAATAGCATTGGTGGCAGTGGTAGTGGTAGTGATAGCGGTAGTGAGAGCAGCAGCAGCAGCAGCAGCAGCAGCAGGGGTAGTAGTAGTAGTAGTTGTTGTTGTTGTTGTCGTTGTCGTAGGGGCAGCGCTAGTGGTAGCGGTAGCGCTAGTGGCAGCAGCAGTAGCAGCAGCAGCAGGAGTAGTAGGAGTAGGAGTAGGAGTAGGAGTAGGAGAGGAGTAGAGTAGTAGGAGTAGGAGGAGTAGGAGTAGGAGTAGTAGTAGTAGTAGTAGTAGTAGTAGTAGTAGTAGTAGTAGCAGTAGCAGTAGCAGTAGGAGTAGGAGTAGGAGTAGTAGTAGTAGTAGTCGTCGTCGTCGTCGTCGTCGTAGTCGTAGTCGTCGTCGTAGTGGTAGTGGTAGTGGTAGTGGTAGTGGTAGTGGTAGGAGTAGTAGGAGTGGTAGTAGCAGCAGCAGCAGCAGCAGCAGCAGCAGGAGTAGTAGTAGTAGTAGTAGTAGTAGTCGAAGAGGTAGTCGTAGTAGTTGCAGAAGTAGGAGTAGGAGTAAGAGCAGAAGTGGCAGTCGTCGAAGCAAAGAACCGAGAAGCAAGGAAGCCAGACAGGCAAGAAGCCGCGGTAGCCAAGACGCTGAGATATGCGTGGAAAGCCAAGAACCCGCGAAGCCGAGAACGAGAAGCCGGTGCGAAGATAGGACTCACCCACGAGTTGTAGGGGTACATAGCCAGTCTGGTGCTGGGTGGTGAGAAAATGAATCTATTGCTTGACTGCAGTCGTGTGACTTGGATTCCCCCATCGCTCATAAGTTGAAGTCATCCATTTTACCATTGCTGAACTCTCGCTGTATCACTTCCTCTCTCACCCCTGTAAACAAGTGCGTGTCACATGCCGTGCCTTGTACTCCAAGGCTAAGAAGTTCCACGGCAAGTGCTGGGGCGAAATCCTGCTGGGACAATGCATGCCTCCCGGATCCCCTCTTACTGAAGCGAGCGAGAAGCTCTAAAGCAGCTTGCGGCTTCCAGCAGTCCTGGGGCTGGGTTTGCAGTGCTCCGATGGCATTCCGGATGCTCACCTTGGCACGCATCGCACAGGGAGCGAGGGAGAGAGAGAGAGAGAGACAGCGTCAGCCAGGAACGAAACAAGCTAGTGACAGAGAGAGGCAGGAAAGACGCGCCGTAGAAAGACAAGGAGACAGAAAGAGGGGAGAGCGATGGAAAGAGGCACTCTAGCTTGTACCCTTTGCCCTTTGACAGTCACAAAATATCGCCGCTTGCACAGCTGAGGAGCGTCTTGCCCAACCGGCGTGATGATCTGATACTGCCTTCGATGTCCAAGACTGGGCTATGTGCGGCAAAGCCATGAAGTAGCGATGGTGCTTGAGGGTCCAGGGTTCAAGGCCTTACATGCTTCAGATGTTTGAAGGCAGCGTTGAGCCGTATCGTGACCAGCGGCCGTCAGGATGTTAAGTCACATCATGCTAGTCCAGCTGATACCATGGTCGTGAACACTAGGTTATAGTCCGGGTTCCGGGGAATCTTCTTGCGGGCCAGTTGCACTGTCCAGGACTGGGCGAGTCGCCGATACGGCCTCTTTTGTTTGGCGCCACTTGCACAGACAGAGTACTCAACCCGTATACAACCGTGAGACAGGAACAACACTGGCAACATGCAAGCAATGCAGAAGTAGGAAAGGACATCGGATTCGTACTCACCACGCAACCAGTAACCACCATGACAACACGAGTGCTGGTTTAAGCAAACGTCCAATTGCGGAAGTCAGAATAACACGAAACATGCTGTGATTCCATGCTCGTACATCGCTTCGAGGGCATCTGCACCATCAGCCACATTCTGCAAGCATTTGGCTGGCAGGCAAGCCAGTGTTCGGAAGTTAAAATGCAGTATATAACACCTTGCAATTGTCCTCATGCGCGGTCTATGCTGCACCAGTGGCACCAATACTGCCAACACATGTTGCGCCTAAACTGCATTGTCCATAGTTGGGATCATGTCTGGAAAGAAACATCATGCGACCTGACAGCTCGCAACTGAAAACTGCATTCCTTTCTGCGGCCTCCACCCTTTTCCTCCGCTTACCGCGTCCTTCCCCATCCAAAGTCCTGTGTGCAGATTTGCCTCCTCGTCAGTCGGCGTGCCGGCACGGCGGAGACGTCCACCGTGGCGGGGTCCAGCCCCATGGAGGAAGCCAGGGCCGCCTAGATGCGGATTTGCTGGGGTGAGGGGGTCGGCTCTTCGGGGTTTGTACCTGTACAAGGATTCAGAAGCTTGAGGCTCTCACGCTCGTTTTTCCGCTCTTCGGATTAAATCATGATCAAGGGTCTTGGCTTTCAGCACTTCAGTTTTCAACGTCTGATGACTGAGAGTCTACAGTGTGCAGTAAGTTTTTTGTGGCAAAGGATGTTTTTTGAAGCCATTTCTGCATGCACAGAAACTTGGGACATCAGTAGCTTCATGCATGCGGTACTCCATTTTGCTCGCAAGGATGTCATTCATGCTTCCATGTATTCACCTACAGATTAATTAGGTCGATCAGTGTCGCTCACAAGGTTCACCTGTCCCTTCAACTAGTTTAGCAAGCCGGTAAACCAAGTCTGATCCTCGCCTTCTTGGCATGTGCCTAGACTAGTGCGTCTAGTGATTAGTGTCAGAGACACATGAGTCTTATCGCAGCTATGCTCTACCGTACAACTGCTGTATGACACAGCCGACTGAAGGAGGACTTGTGAATCAGAGTGTATGAGTTGGAATTTGAGAGTTGACATGCTTGCCATTTCTGTCTGTTGGGAGCTTCCCCAAACTACATTACGTGGCTTTGGCATTCGTGTCACTTCTAGCTTTTTGTGCTTTGTCGCCAAGGGCACCGCTACTGCCAGCTCCACCTGACTCTGCGTTGCCCCAGCGAGGACGAAGCTCATGGAGCCTCGAAAAACCAAGCTTCTCTTCAAGCTCCGATTGGCGCTTTTCACAGTTTCAAAGAGACTTACGGGAAATCCCCTCTCAGCATCGTCTGCCGGGACACCAGATATCACGGCAACATAGCTGTCGGACGACATGGCCAGAGGACACTCCTCAGAAGAACTGCTTGCAGTGTCCCTCTCATGGGATCCAAACTCTCTAGTGACATTGCCCATCGTGTCGGATCCTGAGCCCGTTGACACGCCTTACAGAGAAGAAACCCCAACAGAAATCATCTCCAACTTCGAAACAAGAACAGAAAACACGAACCTAATCCCATGCGATGCAGTTGCCGTGCGAGGGCTCCCATTCTATGGAAGCCAAGCCTCCGACGCATTGTCTGTCAACCAAGCCAAGTAGATCACCTTCCCGGAATTTCAATAACGGAGACTGGGATGAGCGAATGCATGCTCCGTGACAGGTTGAATGGAGGCGGCAAAGAAGCATTAACAGCCAAGGGCTGCGAATGCTCAGATCCATAGCTCCAATTGCTAAGCTAGCATCAGCTGGACCGCATCCCTGAAACAAGGCGTTGCGACCTCAGCCCTTGGCAAAACCCCTGCATGGACCGTGCAGACCGCCCCGTGAGCATGGAGCAAATCCAGGCAGGCGGCATAGTGTTCGATCTGACTTTGATCTTCGGGAGGTTCCCAGGTCAATGTGCCGCCCAAATCCTGGGCTTTGGCTGGAGGTTTTCGTTCTTTGACCGTTGGGCCTGGGTGTAGGGCTTCGGGTTTCGAAATCTCGGCTCTTGTGCTCGCTTGGAAGCACTTGTGCCAACCTGACCAAGAACCTCTAATTTTCAGGACTTCAGGATACTGCACTATCAAGCAAGCAAAACTCGTCTCGAATGAGCATTAAATTCATGTTGCTGCGAAGTGGTATATGCTCGCAACTTTGCGGCTCGGTCGGAGTTTCGGCACCAACCTATGTTGGATTCTTGTGTGCCGGCCAAGTGTCTGTGGCATCAAGATCGAAATCCGGGAAGCTAATGTTCGACACCTTTTCGGTTCATGGGTCAAGGTGAGGCATCTTTGGTTTGTGTCCGATAGGGTGCAATCAAAGAGCGCCTTGGCCTTTGTAGCTGTCCGCAGATCATTCACAACCAACCAAGATGGCTACAACAGACTTGAGAGACAAAGCGGTAGGAATCGTCGTCGCTGTCGTTGTCCCGCTGATTCCTAAACACTAACTGCATCGGTTCTGACGTTAGGTGTCAAGGGAATTGGCAGAATTGGTTAGTCACGGTTAGTATATCCGTGTGGTGTGCTTGCCAAAATGCTCGAGTATTCGGCCCTTTCACACACGCACACACAAACAAGCAAACAAACAAGCAAGCACAAACAAACAAACAAACAATCAAACAAAACACAAACACGAAGACAACCAAGCAAACAATCAAGCACACAGACAATACAAACAGAACAAACAGACAACCACTTTGGCTTTGACTCTTTGTGCAGATGTCTGCTGTGAACCCGCCTCAGCATTGCGTGGACCCGCCACTCAACGTGAAACAACGACCATGTCTGAACAACTGTGAGTTGAAGCCTCAGAGGCCATGCGAAACTACTAGTGAAATAGCTTGTTCAATCTTCAGGGTTGACATGAAAGTCGAACCTCCAATTCAGTGGCTCGCAGGGCGTTGCATTAAAACCGTTTGCAATCTGACTCTGGGGTCAACTGAGCAACGACGCTTGATGCGATCCGAGACCCATTTGGTGGGGCGGCCGTACCCGATGATATACAGGGAGAGTGCATTCCACACCACATCACCCGAAACCAATTTAAGGAAGCTTGGAAAGTTTTCAGATCCTCGGCGAAATCATATGCTTCAAGAGGCAAATCACAGGAACAGTCCTCACACATGTGAAAACTGGGTCGTCGGTAGTTCCCAACCTGTGTATATGAATTTGTATATGTTGGCCGGCGGTCGAACCCTGGCAGAGTGAACAGCAGCTCGGCAAAAAGAGGTCTTTGCACTTCATGGTATTCAGCCCAAACAAGCTCCCGAGCACAGGCAAACAGCCAGGCAGCCAGGCAGGCGGACACACACAAACAAACACTCAAACAAGAAAAACAAACAAAACGACAACTATACAATAAATCAACCAATGCATCAAGGAATGAATGAATAAACGAATGAGGAAAACCGACCAACGAACCAACCAACCGAAGCAATGAATCAATCAAGCACCAGCGCAGCTTCCGACTCGGCCGAGAGTCAGCTGCACTCCACGTGTGTGTGTGTGTGTGTGGCAAAAGCAATATGCTACTTCCGACCATTACTACGGTTTCGCTAATAGCAGCAGCAGTCTGGTGGTGCTAGTAAGTAGTAGTAGTAGTAGTAGTAGTAGTAGTAGTAGTAGTAGTAGTAGTAGTAGTAGTAGTAGTAGTAGTAGTAGTAGTAATCGTCGTCGTCGTGGTAGTAGTAGTAGCAGTAGTAGCAGTAGTAGTAGTAGTAGTAGTAGTAGTAGTAGTAGTAGTAGTACAGTAGTAGCAGCAGCAGCAGCAGCAGCAGTAGCAGCAGCAGTAGCAGTAGCAGTAGCAGTAGCAGTAGCAGTAGCAGTAGCAGTAGCAGTACCAGTACCAGTAGGAGTAGGAGTAGGAGTAGGAGTAGGAGTAGTAGTAGTTGTTGTTGTTGTCGTAGTAGCAGTGCTTGTAGTACCAGTTTTAATCGTAGCACGGGTGGTGGCAGTTGTAGTAGCAGTAGTACTGCTACTGCTACTGCCACTGCCGCTGCTCCTACGACTGCTGCTGCTTCTCCCACTCCTTACTACTACTACTACTACTACTACTACTACTACTACTACTACGACTACTACGACTACTACGACTACTACTACTACTACTACTGCTACTACTACTACTTCTAGTACGTCTGCTACTCCGCAACAAATTGCTACTTTTAGTACCACTCCACTTCTGCAGCGACGACGAAAGGAGGAGGAGGAGGAGGAGGAGGAGGAGGAGGAGCTCGCGTCGTCCACAGCATGATGCGGCAGTGGCTGGCCGACCGGCTAAGCCCCGAACCGGTGCATGCTTGTCCTCCAGAAGCAAGGACACGGGCGTGGTCTGCTCTGCCAGAAGAGAACGTGTGTAGATCACCTTGGCGACAGCGTTTTCACTGTCACCCTGTGAGCTATCCCGTAAACCCTGCGAGCCACCAAGCCAAGCAGAAGTGTGCAGAATTGCGCAGTGACCATTGGCGTAGTAACCATCACACAGTCCCGCTGGTGCGGGCTTCCGGCTCCAATGCAATGCCAATCGAATGTACATTAACCAGCAGGAATTCCACTAAGGGTACATGCCAATCATGCTCCAAACCAAACTGAAACTCCAACAAGATGCCAACTGCCTTGACACAGCCAAGCTGCCAAGAACGGATAAGCTGTGGTTTCTGGAAGAATGTCTTCCTGCAAGGCCACTGCACAGACCATGCTTCGGCTTGGCCTGCCTATATCCTTTGGAGCCATTGCTGCCGCAGATTGCCAGCAAAGGAGAAAGGCTGCAGAATCAATTTAGGTATTTTTTCTTTTTTTTTCCGGTATTCCTTTTATTTTTCTTCTTTTCTAGCAAATTACATGCAATTTACAAGTTGCACGACGTCTGAAGTGCCGACTTCTGTCTAAATGTACATCTGCAAGCGTGTCTACTCATGCAAGCTCTTTGCCTTTTGCAATCTGCACAACATAGCTCGATTCTTGCTCGGCCATCCGGAGGGTGCCGGGGTACAGCATGTTTTAGCTAGCGCATGGATTACTGTCGTGCGTTTTTGCTGTTTTCGGGAGCTGGTCTTGGGGTCTTGGGGGGTGGGGGTGGGGGGGACTGATGACGTCCACTTCGCCACCATCATCATGATCATCGTCATAATTGTCATCATCATTGTCATCATCACGGCATGGTCATCTTTTACGCTCCGGTACTCACATCATCCCCACATGACATGAGGTTAGACCCTCAACACAACAATACTTCCGCCCCAACAACAAAAAAGCGACCCAAACCATACAAATCCGCCCCCGCCGAAAACAGCTAGTTCTAAGCCTAAAAACCGCCAAAGGCTGTAAATACCCAGGAGTTCCTGACCTGTAACGTCCGATGTGGCATTTATTTTTTGGTTGCCCAAAGTCGTGCTTGCTGTTTGCGGGGTCTGGTCTTGAAGTTTTGGGGGTGGCGTGGGGGCTGATAACGTCCACTTCGCCACCATCATCATGATCATCGTCATCATTGCCATCATCATTGTCATCATCCTCGTCATCGTCACAGCATGGTCATCGCTTACGTTCACATGAGGTTAGACTCTCAACATACCAATAAGTATACAGTGCCCCAACCAAATCAAAATACGACCCAAAACATAAAATTCGGCTCCCGCCGAAAACCGCTAGTTTCAAGCTTTCCTGACATTGTGGACGGATTTCGTGCTATTTCCCGCGTTTCGCTGACCTGAGCCTACATTATCTTAGTTGCTGTTGCTGTTGTCCTGAGCAAAACCAACGTTACCTTGGTTGTGGTTGCGGTTGTTGTTGCTGCTATTATTGTTATTGGTTTTATTCTTCTTGTGGCTGTTGGTAGCCTTTTTTCTATTGTTATGTATTGTCGTACTATTATTGTACCATTTCATTCATTGATTTATTGGATTTATTGTTACTATCATATGTAATAGTTGCCATTGTTATCGTTGTGGTCGTTGTTGCTGTTCTCGTTATTCTCAGCCGTTGTTGTCATAGCCGCTATGGATCACAGCAGGCTGTGTAGCTTTGCTAACAAGGCTCTGGGTACCAACGCTAGAGGCTCGCAACGTCCCCCTCCTGCGAAGCTTAAGGGACCGTCCTCTTATTGAGCCATAGCCATCCCTGGAGCCACGTGTCGCTGTGATCTACCGGGTCCCAATTCCCGGGCCTCTGTCTGCAGTTACACAACATTGGCAAGAGGCAAGCGGTAGGGTTATCACCTTTCCGCGGGGTGAAGGGAGTCGGATCGAGTTTTCTCTTTCCGGCGAAACTAGCGGAAGGCGCGTCGACTGTGCCTCAGTGCTTTTCTCCTGCCGATGCTTTTACATTTACAAAAGGACCTGCCGCACCAAGCCATTCAAGGGGCGGCCCAAGTCATGGGTTGGCCATCTTCTGCACCTGGGTATCCTGAAGGAAGCTTTCGAGTTGAGGCCTCGTTCCGCTCCTCTCTTCGACTTTCCAGCTACACGACAAGACACCCAGGTACAGCTCAAGGTCTCTCCTGCGCAGTTTTGCTGGCGCTTTGGTTTTGCGCTTTAACTGGTACACCTCAGCAAGAAGGACACGGATCGTCTGGTATTCTCATGCAGTCTTCTTCGAGCACTAGTTTTTTCTTCAACGGCACAGTGGACTGCCACCGGCTGCTACGAAGCCAGTGCGATCGAGAGCTCTTCGTCACGGTTGAGTGTTTTCTGCGCTTCACTTCTGTTCAGCCGCCAGCGCCTGGGAGCAAGTCAGACTCAGGACAGGCTAGGCGCAACGTGGTGACTCACAACGCGTCAGCATCCTCCCAATGCTGGCCCCGACGGGCATTTCAGGGACTCCTCTTGCTATGGGGTGCCCTTGTGGGCCTAGAGGGGCTATCCTCTCTGGTGGGGGAGGCCTCTCGGGGGCCGCCGGGCCAGACTTGTCTACAAGACAAGGCGCAGATTGGGACACTGGGGACTCAGGTTCAGCAGAGTTGGCCAACGTCTTCAGTTCCAGCACGGTGTCTACCTGGTACGGCTCCACGTCACATCTGGGTACAGTCGTTAAGCGGACGCGCTCGCTGTGCTATGGGTGTCGGGCTACGGCTACGGCCCTCCCAGGTGTGTTCGTTACTGTCCTGTTACCGACGGGGTCAGGCAGTGCTAGGAGTGACGGCCCACGTGTTTTTGCTTGACGACGAATTATCCTTACGGCCCATCGCTGGTAGTCGGGAGTTACCTAGTGTGGGACGCCACTAGACGGGAACTCTGGGAGACGGCTCTTCTGAGTACGACCCACCGGCTGCCAGTTCGTGAGTATTGGACGCAATGACTCACACTGAGGGTGACGGAGGCTACATGACGACGACTTTGTGAGTCGGGCTGTCACGTTAGGAGTTTCGGGCATCGCTCGCGCAAAAACGGGCAACGCCTTTGTAACTGAAGTCAACTTCTTGTGGCCTATCCCCTAGAGGCTGGTGCCCAAGAGCTGTTGCTGCTGTGTACAGTCTGCAGCGCTGCTCTTCTTGACTTAGGCCTTTTCTCTTTTAACGTTTGTTGCATCGGCTCCTCTTTTTTCCTTCACTGAGGATCCTATAGAGGTTGCGCGGTCTTCTCTGTTGGTTTTGTTTGGTCAGTTCGTTTTGGCTTGTTTTACGCGAGGCCTCGGGACCTGACTTCGGTCGTAGTTCTCAGAAACGGATGAAGGAGGTACCTGCGATTCTCGCATGGGCAGTCCCCTCGCGCAAAGCGCCAGTCTGTTTCTTTTTCTTTACAAGGCCGCCGGGCGAAGACCGCGTAACCTCTATAAGAATGTCGGCAGGTCAGATCCTAAAGGAGTGGTGCTAGCTTATGGCTAACCCGGTGGCGCTGGCTCACGGCACACTCGGGGATGGCACGCTTCCGAAGTTTCTGCTCGCCCGCAATGAGCAGAGCCCGCTCGCTCAGCGTCCAATAAAATCAGCCGTTGTTGTTGTTGTTGCTAGTGTTATTATTATGATTGTTCTTGTTGTTGTTATTGTTACTAGTGTCGTTGTCGTCGTTGTCGTTGCTGCTTTTGTTGTCGTGTCACTGCTTTTGTCGTTGTTGTTGTTGTTGTTGTTGTTGTTGTTGCTTTTGCTACTACCCTAACTACAGTGGAGCTTAAAAAAAGCAGCAGCGTCTCCAGTTCAGAAAAGCGGGGGGTAAAGGGGAGGGAGCAAGCAGCAAAGCTTGCAGTTTAGACAAAGCGGGGGGGGTTGGGGGGGCGGAGCCCCCTCGCATTTGTAAACCTTCCAAAAATGACCTTGGTGTTTTCGTTTTTACCCCCTGAAGCGATTTCATGTGGTTTCTCCAGTCTTGTGTGTTGGAGAAGACGCTTTTAACCATTTATTCGTTTTACAAAGGAGACTCTTTTTCACTTTTTTTTGTCTTCTTGCTTTTTTACTCCCCAGCGAATACGTCTGGCTTTCGCCTTCGTCTTGTCGGTCGGTGAAGACGTTTCTTTTATGATCATTTTAATTTTCCTCGCTTTTGACCCCTGAAGCGTTTTTGTGTGGCAATTCTCCTTCTTGTGTGTTGGGGAAAGACGTGTTTGTTCATTTCTTCACGGCTTAAGCGAGCGCGGGGGTCGGGGGGTCCAGCCCCCCCCCATTTGCAACGAGGGGGCCCCCTTCGAAGAGGGCTCCGAAGGCGATTTCGCAAGGAATTTCTTTTGCATGTTGGAGAAGATAATCTTAGTCTTTAATAATAGTAATAGTAATAGTAATAGTAATAGTAATCGTAATCGTAATAGTAATCGTAATAGTAATTGTAATAGTAATAGTAATAGCAATAGCAATAGCAATAGTTATAGTTATAGTAATAGTAATAGTAATAGTAATAGTAAGAGTAAGAGTAAGAGTAAGAGTAAGAGTAAGAGTAAGAGTAATAGCAATAGCAATAGTAATAGTAATAGTAATAGTAATAGTAATAGTAATAGTAATAGTAATAGTAATAGTAATAATAATAGTAACAAGTAATACGTAATAAGTAATAAGTAATAGTAATACGTAATAGTAATAAGTAATAAGCAATAAGTAATAAGTAATAGTAATAGTACTATTAATAGTAATAGTACGAAAGCAAAGCCGTAAAGCAGGACAGCGGGTAAGCAGAGAAGTACAATAGATGAAAAGCAAAAGGAAAGTAAAGGCAGAGGAAAGCAATCAACAACAAAAAACAACAAGCAAGCAAAGCAGGGAAGAGCAGCAAGCGAAAACTTTAAAAAAGAAAAGCGAAGCAGACAGTCAGAGAAGCAGAAAATCAGAGAAGCAGGAGAAGCGGAAAGCAGAGAAGCAGAAAAGCAGAGCAGCAGAAAAGCAGAGGAAAGCAAAAACAGAGAAAAGCAAAAGCACAAACGTAAAAACAGTAACAAAAAACAGTAAAGCAGGGAAGAGCTGCAAGCAAAAACTTCAAAAAAAACACGAAGCAGACAATCAGAGAAGCAGCAGCGAGGAAGCAGAAGAGCAGAGAAGCAAGCAGAAAAGCAGAAGAAAGCAAAACACACAAAAACACAAAACAAATTCCCCAAGAAAAAAACAAAAAAACCTCAAATAATTAGGAGTCCATTCCCTTCTTGCCAAGAAGCCGAGAACCCAGGAAGCTAGGAATCCGATAAGCCACGAAGCCAAAAAGCCAAGGTGAAGAAGTCAGGAGGTCAGGCCAGGTGAAGAAGCCAGGAAGCCAACTAGGTTTAACGCGAAGTAGGACAACAAGACAGCAAACCAGGAAGGAAAGCCCAGAAGCCAAATAAAAGACGACAACAAACCAGCAAGGAAAGCCCAGAAGCCGAAAAGGCAAAAACCACAAACAAAAAAAGTACCCAAAGAAAAACAAAAAATACCTCAACAAATACGATTCCAAGGAGAAAAGAAGCACTCTGAGCCCGAGCTCCTGGTGGAGACCTTCTGGAACATCCTTGGCAATCTGAGATCGGCCAAGACCTGTCGGATCGTCCGCCAGGTAAAGCCGGTAGCTGTCCACCTCAGAAGTTGATCGCTTACTCTGTGTATTCCTTGATCGCTACTCCAGGAATTTAGGGTTCGGAGTGTCGACAGGGTGGATGGTTTGGGATGTAAGCCCTGGGGCTGAAGGAGATGCCACTTGCGATTAGAAAAGCTTGAGAGGCCACGTCTCAGGCCACAAACCTCGGATCCCGAAGAATGCCTTCTCCACTTGGCGACACCATCTGGGGTGCCCACACGCTGCGTCAGGGCCGGCGGTGTCCAGTGCACCTGGTCTTTCGATCGGGTCAAATCTAATTATAGTTATCATCACTCTGATCTCGAGTCATACATACCTACCTATCTGCATGTTCTACGGAGTGCATTCCAGAATCCAGAGTTCTGTGTGTGCACACAC